CGAATATGGGGATAATGGTACAGAAACTGCTGATCTCTAGTTGGAGGGAGTGGAGGATGGAGTGCCAATCATCGTGGAAGGATTTGCGTTGTACTATGATCCAACAGCTCCATGCGAAGGTTTCTGGGAAGAGGCTCGACTTGTTTACCTCATTCGTGGAGTGGTATTGGTGTTGTGGGTTTGTTGGGTGGATGGGTGGTGGGGCAACATGAAGGTGTTTTATGTGTTTTATAGGGGGAGTGAAGGCGGCTTTGGATCAGGTAGAGATGGCTTGGGCTCCTTAAGGTTTGTGTGCAATTGTGCTTTGGGATTGTCTGCCTTTCTCAGTGGCAAGGTAGCCATGGATAATGCCATAGAAAGCTTCCATCCTTCTCTTCCTGGTCTCGAGGGTACCATGATTCTATTTTGCCTCCATTGTTGTCAAGCTTATTGATTTCTATCCAGTAGCCTCGTTTGTTGTTCTATTTTTCCACCCAAAGAGTGTAGTCGTCACTACGATGCTCTTTGAAAAACTTGTGGGTAAGGGGAGAGCCAAGTAGGAGTTGGAGGAGATTGGTGAGCCAGTGTAAGGAGACCCATGTCAGGGAGAAGGAGAAGGAGGAGTCCTTGCTGTTCTCTGTCAGACGGGTGCGACTTCCCTGTAGAGCTTGTCGACCGTGATGGATATTGTTTTACACTCGATCAAAACCTTCTGGGTGGGGTAGTTCCATTCAGACATGATGTACAAGTGGGAGGGGAAAGAGGGGGATGGGGTCAGTAGGTGGCTGGTCCATGACTGCCGAAGGCGAAAAGGTGATGGTGAGGGATGGCGGAGGCTATGGGGAGAGAAGGGCGGGGAGACATTTTCTTAATAACAACCATTTTCTCTTCATCCGTGAGTTTGTGAATATCAAAATATCGCTCAACACAAAATAACTAGGAGTCGAGATCCTTACCTGTGAAGATAGGCATATCCACTTTCTTGAATTTATTTTGATCATATCCCTGATCATTGATCTGAATTATCTTCGCAGTCTCCTCCATTTGTTCGTTCTTCTGCACCGATGATTCGCCAAGTTGCGAAATTGACGGAGTTTTGCCGTCAATGATCTCCGATATGAACCCTTCCAACATCATTTGGATTCTTTCGATCATCACGCGTTGTTCCTCTACCTTCGCACACAAGGTCGTGATAGCTACTTTAATGTCCGAAATCTCCTTTTTTTTTCCTCACACCAAACTTCCAACTCCTTCATCGTCATCATCGATCAAAATTCCCAGTCTTGAACTTGCTCTGATACCAATTTGTGAGGATTCGTTCACTTTTGGCATTAGAAAACAACGGATAGAGCCTATAGGCAATACAAAGCTGCCCCACCAATTCGAGAGGGTGGGTAATCTCTCCCTAGCTACCTTTTGGCACTAACAACCAGAATGATTCTTTGTAACAAACCCCATCCCTTTTCTACTGCTCCCTGCCCTATTACATTAGTGGCCCCCACACCTAAACTGTTATTCCTTCCCTTCTCTCATATTACTCTTTTGCCCCAGGTACAATTCCTCTTCTACACTTCCTATGGTAAGTCTTCACTATTGGTGGCCTAACAAAAAGCTACACCGATTGTGGGAGAGAGAGAGATCCATGGGAGCCTTTGTTGCACATGGTCATGGGTATTAAGGCAGCTGTGACTAAACTCCCAAAGGAGGAACTTAAGTTTCTTTGGGTAAAGATCTTTCCAAATCAACTTATATAAGTCACAGTTTTCCAAATAGGGGCCTCTTGCCAAGGTGTTGACTAGAGATTTAGAAGAGAAAGCACCATCCTTTTCAAGATTCCAAACCCATATCTTCCCTGTGAGAGATCGACAGATGCAAGAAGCAATGACAAAGCTGCCCATTCACTAATTTCCTCTTCTTTTACGTTTATACGGAGGTTCAAAGCAAATTTATTTTGATGGTCCCATATATCTCCAACCGAGGCTTCTTTAGAATCTCAGGGTGAAAATAAAAAGGGAAAAGTCATAGCAAAAGGTTTCTGTCCAATCTAATTGTCTTTCCAAAAAAGAGTTCCACCATTTCGAACCTTATGCTGAATGTTTGAATGTATTAGGCTTCCTTGTGAAATAATGTGCTTCCAAGGGCCTTTTAGGATACTTTTAGCCTTGAATCCGATTTGAGATCAAAATGGATAGATCCATACTTTGCTGTAATTACTTTTCTACACAGAGCCGATTTTTCAGAATGAAACCACCAAGGCCCTTTTACTAACAGGGCTTTATTTCTTTGCCTCACATCTGTGATTCCAGGGCCCCCTTCAGGCAAAGGCCACTTCACATTAACCCCATTTTAGAAGATGGGAGGCTTCCTTTGTTTCTTTGGAGGTGCTTCAGGCTTAAGCATATATTTGGAAAAGTCGGCTTTGATTGGGATTAATGTTGACAAGAATGAGGTGAAGAATACTGCTTTTGCTCTTCTTCCCATTTCTTATCCTGGATTCCTTTTGGATGTAAACCTTCTGCCCCTTCTTTTTGGAACCCGACTATTGATAAGGTGAGAAGATTTTTAGCCTTGAATCCGATTTGAGATCAAAATGGATAGATCCGTACTTTGCTGTACTAATCTTTCTCCGCAGAGCCAATTTTTAAGATTGAAACCTCCAAGGCCCTTTTGCCAACTTTGCCTCAAATCTTCCAAGATCTCCTTTAAGCAAAGGCGGCTTCACATTAACCCCATTGTAGAAGATGGGAGGGGAGGCTTCCTTTGTTTTTTTGGAGGTGCTTCAGGCTTAAGCATGTATATCTGGAAAAACCAGCTTTAATTGGGGTTAATGTTGACAGAATGATGTGAAGAATACTGTTCTTGCTCTTGGGTGCAGTGGTGATTTTCTACCCATTTCTTATTCTGGAATGCCTTCTGGATGTAAACCTTCTGCCCCTTCTTTTTGTAACCCGATTATTGATAAGGTGAGGAGAAAACTAGCTAAATGGAGAGGTTTCTGCATTTCCATATGGGGTAGACTCACTTTGGTGAATTTGGTGCTCACTAGTATATCCCCCTTCACCACCCCTCGATTATCGCATTTTGGCCAAAATAAAAAATTATTGATAAAGTCACCAGAGATTCCCTCTGGAAGAAGCTAACAAGAAGAGGGCAGTCATTTAGTAAGCTAAACAGCTCCTTTAAATTCTGGCGGCCTTGGTATAGGTGATTTTAGATAGAAAAATAGAGCTCTTTTGGCCAAGTGGTTATGGAGGTTTTCCCAAGAGGAAAAGCTTTATGGAAAGAGACCAAGAGAAAGAGAAAGAGCGCCAGGCTTCCTGACAAGATCAGGAAGAGATGGCTATTTGCAGCCTTGGAAGGATATCAACAAATGAAGATCTTAATTGGAGGAAGCTTGGCGATGGCCAGAAAATTATCTGTGAAAATCCTTGGATCTCTCCCATTCCTCTGTGCAGCTCTTGTCCCTCCATTTATACCGTCTCTAATTCAAAGTTTACCACCATATTCAACTGCTGGTCTATCTGTAACAACGCTTGGGATCTTCAATTGAGAAGAGGTTTATTAGACAGAGAACTGGAGGAATGGGCCAACCTCATTGTTTTACTCCAAGATAAACATCTCATTCAAGTTAGAGACTCCGTTATTTGGGCAGCAGATCCTTCAGGGGGTTAATCAGCTAGCAACATCCTTCATCAGGAGACTCCATTGCTTAGTGTTTCTTAGCGAATCATTTGGAAAGGAAATAGCCCAAGAAACAATTCTTTTTTTGTTTGGTCTCTTGTTCGTAGGAGCTTGAATACTATGGATAGACTGCAAAAAAGGAACCCAAACATAGCCTTAACCGCAAATATGTGTCTGATGTGCAAACGTAGTGCAGAAACTTGCGACCATTTGTGCATAAAGGCTGGAACTACATTTGTAACTGGTTTAATTTTGCCAGGTGTCTTTCCAAGAAGATTAAAAATGGGCTTATAGCGTTGCTTTCAGGATGGTAGCTTAAAGAAAAAAGTGAATTCCTCTGGTTAAATGATTGTAGAGCTCTTCTTTGCTCCTTTGGAAAGAAAAAAAAATTTACAGTATACAACCTCAAATTGGAGTGCTTTACACAAATCTTTTCGTAATATTCCCTCTATCCTCTTCTCTTCAGATTGAAGGTCTTTTTTTTTTACTCTTTTCATGGGCTTAGGGATCCCTTGCCCCTAAAGGCATTTAGGTTGTCATCTCCCTTTTTGTTGATAATATATATATCCATTTCTCCTTGAAAAAAAAAGAAAAAACAAGAGTTGAGGAGTCCAATCTTGGAACACCTTAAAATTATCTTCTTTGATTTTTTGTTTGGGTAAGAGGATATTTGAATAAAAAGCAAACAAAAGCAACAACCTGGAGGTCGTAGGAAAGAGATGACCCTATGCCAATGAGGCACCAGACAGAAGTCCTCCAGTCTAAGTTGATGAAAAGGATGGGGAAATTACCATAAGTTTTGTGTAGAGCATTCCAATTAGGGGCTGCACACTGAACCCGTTCCCACAAACTTACAGAAAACCACGTTTATGTTTATCAGAGAAGGTTCTAGAGTTCCGAGCCAAGGGAAAGCTTCAACATGATCCTAGCTTTGTCTTTGATACTAGACTACCATTCAGAAGGCCATCTTCCATCTTCTTAGGAGGACACCTATCAAAACTCTTACAAATCCTTGGTAATATTGCACCATTCTTTTTTATTTTTTTTTATTTTTTAACAAGAAACAAACTTTTCATTGATAATATGAAAAGGAAGAAAATGTTCAAGATACAAACACCCAAAGGGAGCTAAAATATTACACAGTTCTTTTAAAAACTCACTTTTGTAACCGTCGGGACTAGGAGCTTGGTAAGGTTGTCCTCGTTTACACTGAATTTCCAGAATTAAGCTTCTCACTCTAGCATTGACAAAATTATGGAAATGACCAAAATTGTCACCACCCTAACAAAAGGTTTTGCATTTCTGCTTTCGGCTCATGTCTTCCTTTTCCCTGTCTCCAGCACTGGAGAAAAATTTCTAGAGGTGGTGCCAAGCTTCCTTGCAACTCTAGGGAAGTGGAACTTATAAATCCATCTGGTGGGAACAAAGAATCCGTCAGTTAAGGAGAAAATTGGCTGATTCCTATCAGTAGAGCAATTGGAGAGTGGGAGATCAACCAAGGAGATGTAGTTCAACCTTTGCACACTATAAGTAACTCTACCACCAGAGGATCTCCCATGGTTGCACCAATAAAAGTCACCTCCTAGACATCAACATCATTCATAAAAAACCAGAAAGAGCCTCCAAGTCCTCCCAAAAGTGGTTCCTATTTATGATCAGAAGGGTTCACATGGGAATTGCCCCTGGAAGCACCAGATGGTTCCAATACAGACCAGCCCATGTACTGAGTCTCAAAGAATTGGAGAGTTTTTCTCAAAAAAAAAAAACAAAAAACAAGAAGAAAAGAAAAAAGAATTTAACCGAGAGTCTATCAACCATGTCACATTTAGGATAAAAAATGACAGTATCAAGGGTGCATTTAATTATAGTATCTTTAATGTAACATCTTTGGGGTCTCTTATTACATTCGAGCTAAGGATAAGGATCTTTATGGAAAAATGGAAAAATATTTGGAGACTGCCGAGCAAGTATTGTGGTCATAGTTCAATTTAGCAATGAGAACTCAAGGAAGGGCAAGAGTAGAAATGGATGGCTCTCTTTTCTGCATCCCAACCTCTTCAGCAGCTAGAATGGAGTTGAAGATGTTTTCAGAAACTCTTCAAAGGCACGAGTGGAAATGGATGGCAGTGACCACTTAATAAACTCCAAGTTCTATGTGCCCGCTTTGAGGTGGACTAGGAAAGGAAACTGGGTATGCACTGCGAAAAGGATGTAGATGTAAATCCAATTCCACTTCGCATTTGTAGCCCATTTTACTTGTCTTATAATGGAAAACTGTTGTGCTATCAGCTATGCCGCTTGATTACTTACTAATGCCACGGAAATGGAGTTTCTCAAACTGTTCTTGATTTACATGCAGGTCAATGCATATTATGACTATGAAGACGTAATTGATTCTGATGAAGAACTAGATTTGACAACAATGGCAACTGATCCATGATTGTAAATTGAGTCTAATTTACGAAATTATGAAATTGTGTATTATATACATCATATATATTGCAAGAGAAGTATCTTTGTTCCGGTCGATGGCAGTTTGACGGTTGATTTCATTCAAGTACCGTAAAATTCTTAAATTTCTATTTAAATTATTAAAATTGCATGTTTTTCTTCCTACATTGTGTAGTTGATTTCAGGATGATCTGCTTTAAATGAAAATTGGACCATATTTTTCATGTTCCATCTTGTTCTTTAAAGCATTGGATAGACTACTCCGTTTACAACTCTCGTCAGGCAGCAAGACAAATTTTGAAACGGTATGATTTGCTTCATGCTTTTCCTAGAACACGAAAAAGAGTTGCCTCAGAGATCTTGGTGTTGGAAGGCTAATTATTCTCTCACAATTTTCACATCTTTTTTCCTTGGGTTCTTGGTATTGTCCTTAGAAAGCCTTACACGCAATCTACGGTTCAAATTAAATTCCACAATTCAATTCACATAAATGTAGTCACATAACCTTGCGATGTACGACATTATATCAATACTCATTCCCAAGAATAAATGCCCAAATGCAACGAACAGTACCCTTACTCTTGTAAGCTTCGCTGTAAAGGAAAATAACCAAATGTATCAGCTTGTAAACTTTCTACCTTAGATTAGAGGGGGCGCCTTAGGTACAAGATACAGTAATAGCCTGTTAGATGCCAGCTAACCACTACCAAATATCTTACAGAACAAAATCATGGTTCCTAAACAGTTTTGCTATTATCGAACTGTATGAACATTATAGGACGACTAATATATCAAACTACAAGCTTGGTTTAAACATCCAGCTTAACACCATCATTCCAACTGTTCAAATGGAACACGAACAAACAACTGTCCATGTAATGTGACAACGGCAGACGTCTGGTGTGGGTCAATTCTTGAAGGTAGGCTGACCACCTGGTACCAGAAAACATGCATTCACAATTATTTTATATCAACCAATAAAATTGATCTCATCTTTTTTTTTTTTCTTTCCTTATCCTTATCCCTTTTTCCAGACGAAGAATCTGAAGTGGGGGTGGGAAAATCTGGGGGAAATGGATTTGAAAAAAGAAAAACATTCACCGACAAGTTTGGTTGACTCGAAAGACCCAGCTGTCTGAGCTGGGGAAAGATAAGTTTCAATGATAATACACAAATATTGAAGGTAAAACGTAAATAGAATTGGTTGAATGTGTTGTGTTCTATTCAAGTTAAGGGGGGTAAGGACCTTTTTGAAGGGTGTGACACCCCATGGATTATCAGGATGTTCAGGTTCACCACTAATAACCAAGCGTCCTGCTGGATCAGACTGAACACGCACCTGTAGAAACAGAAACAAGAACTGAGGGAATATTTAAACTCTTCTGCGTGGTCTCTATGTGACATGTATACTGGTTGTGAACCAAACAAAAAAGTCAAACAATTATAGGTGCCTTCAGAACTCGTAACCCAAGACACTCAGAAGCTAAAGATTGTTAGCAGCTGACAGATGGAAAATGCTTATCTAATCGCCATTGAAAGAAATCAGAAATTTCAAAGCAATTGCATTGTCAATTGAGCTTCTAAAATAAAGTTTTTGGAAAAGATGAACAAACCAGATTCAACGTAAGAACCATAAACATTGCAAATACTGAAAACGGAAATGATGTACCTCCTCACGAAGTAGTCCGGGAACTAATGCATAGACTTCATAACAATCTTTCTGCCACAAGAATGAACTTACTCTATAAGTTCCCTACTATCATTGAACATATTCAATGTATTTTAAATTCAAACATGCTCCACAACTTACAGTTTTCTGCACATTGACCTTGACCCAATCAGCTGGTTGTCCAATGTCAACAACTGCCACATCCAACCTAGCCACAAACATCAAAAATAAGTTAGCGGAAAATGGTAAGCACCTTTCTGTCGTTCCTTCTATGCTTTCTTGCATCATGCAGGCACTTCAATTGGCCTGGCCAATTGTCATATAACTTGATGAACCAATTCACCACCTTTACCAAGTATAATGTATAGGTGTATATAGTTGCATAAAATAAACATATAAACATACAAAGGATACTAACTGTGGTTTTGATGATTTTGTACGTGCTGACTTCATGGGATGCTCCATGTAAGATGGTTTCTTCCGCTTGAGAAGACCTACATCAACAAACAAGATTTTATAAAAAGGAACAAAACTGCAGTTATGCATACTGCAAAGAACACAAAAGAAGCTTACCGATGCTTTTAAGTTGTTTTTCCCTTTTCTGGACTGAAAGTGAGTTCTTATCCTACAGAATTTATTGTAATGGCACCCCCATTGGAAAAGGATATAATGGAATAAATTGAAAATGCATAAGAGAAATCAATTCACGAAACTATAACATTTACTGGACCTTGATAATAGGATCACTAACTTCACCATTTCCCAGAAGACGCTGTGAGTGCCAGCCCTGCATTGCACGTGCAGCAGCGTCTCTTCGTGCTCTACCTGAACCTGATCCCTGATGAAATTTGTGTGCAAAACAGAGAGTTAGGTTTAATCAGAAACAAAGTTACTAAATAAATTTGATCACGTACAGTATCATCCCCATGTATTTCCTCAGAAATATAATACAAGCATATGCAGGATCAATAACACCACCAGCATTATTAACACCTAAACTTTCTTAAACCAGAGGCTACAATCAAAAGATGATCTAACATATACATTTTGTAATCCCCTTGGCTTTACGGATATCTCATCTCCTAATTTGTATATTCTATTTGATTAAATACAAGTTCTGTTTCTTATAAATACTCTGATAGAACTCATATAACAAAAAAAGGACATACAAATATCTAATCCGAAAGAAAGGATATACAAAAAGGCTCAGGAAATTGAACTTCAAGAAATCACGGTACTACAACATGTCCTGTTTGCCTATTCTAGAACAGGCTGCAGAATAAGGGTACTACAACATGTCCTGTTTGCCTATTCTAGAACAGGCTGCAGAATAAGAGTATGGTTCACTTATATAACTCTCATATTTTAAGGTTTTTAAAGTTTATTTGTCATTTTGATTAGGCTTGTAAGGTTTGTTCCCCATCACAAACACCCTGATCCCAAGTATTGGGATGCAGGCATGGTTGACATTGGTACCATCAAAATTCAGGCTAGGCCATTTCTCATTGCCTTCCAAACTTCCCCAGATTCTCAAGAATATTCAGTTGGGGAAGGCAATTGTGTACTAACAAGGGATCCTCCATCTGAGGTGCTGGAGATTTTCAAGTTTGGACCTTCATCTGAAACTCTCCTCTAAATCTTTAACCTGTCGCTGCCCTCCCTAAGCTACGGAAGTTAAAATTTTCAAAGAAAATTGAACTTTTTGCTCGCCATGTGTCTCTTGGCTCTTCTATGAAAAATTTTCCTTAATGGTATGTTTTATGGAAGCAAATCATGCCCTTGACATTTTCCCAAGAGATTTTGGGATAATTTATGATAAATATTTTTTTAATAAGAAACTAGAGAAACTAAATAGAGAAACTAAATTACGATGAATTATCATTTCTCTAGTGCCCCTCCACAGAGCTGTCATAGATAAGATAGATAAAGTTCTGTTGTGTCTGATCTGGCTTCCAATGACAAAGGAAAAATTCCGTGAAAATTTGCTCCTTATGGCAATTTTTTAAAAATTAGGTTGGAAAGAAATAGAAGCTGGGTAGAAGTGAGGAAACTGGCCTTATTTAATCCTTCTACCATTTAGAATTGCGTTACTAGTGTTTTTAGAATTCTTCCTGTTTTATTGACTACTAACAATTACGGTTCTTTTCTTATTATTTTATTTGAGTTCCCTATTAATTTTTGTTTTGTTTTGTTTTTGTTTTTTAGAAGAAACAATTCATGATATGAAATTAAATTACAAAAGGGAGAGAACCTAAGGGGGTTACAAAAAAGCTCTCCAATTGGATGACAATGAAGCAAAACTATAATGGTGAAAAAGGGGGAACATTTATACCATGAAATAACCATAAGAACAATAGATTAAAAAAATATGGAAATTGCGATGGATAGCAAAAATCTTTTATGTATTTCAAAATATGTCACCTGTTTTTTAAATTTTCAAATATAGTAAAAATTTTTACTTCTATTAATAGTATTTCAGATACTCATATCAGTAGTATATCAGAAACTCATGATAGTAGTATATTAGATGTATATCACATATATATTGTATGACACTTATATCAATACTATATCAAATGTATATCACATACATATGACATGTATATCAAACACTTATATCAGTAGTATATCAGATGTATATCACATACATATGACATGTATATCAAACACTTATATCAGTAGTATATCAGATGTATATCACATACATATATTAGTAGTCAGATATAATACATATATTAGTAGTTAGATATATTACAAATATATTATTAGTAGTTAGATATATTACAAACATATTAGTAGTTAGATATCATTTGTGTAAAGTTGTCATTTTAAAATTGAACCTCCATTTGTTTTAAGTGTTATATTTTGTAAAGTTTAGGGAGAATAACAAAATAGAATTCGATTCAATTTATGCCTTGATACAAACCTAATAACCTATTTATAATACACTAATTCCTAAACATAATAGGAATAGGAATCTAATACAATAATATAAAATATACTAATAAATACTCTAACACTCCCCCTCAAATTGGTGCATATATGTTAATCATATCCAACTTGTTAGAGAGATAATCTATCCGCGCTCCATTCAGTGCTTTAGTGAAGATATCTCCTAACTGCTCCCCAATCTTCACATATCCTGTAGCCACCAATCCTTGATGTATTTTCTCACGTATATAATGGCAATCGACTTCAATGTTTTTGGTTCATTCATGAAATACTGGATTAGATGCAATATAAAGAGCTGCTTGATTATCACACCAAAGTTTTATTGGAGTGGTGATGCCAAATACCAATTCAATCAGAAGCTGATATATCCATACTAATTCACACACTCACTGTGTCATAGCTCTATATTCTGATTCAGCACTCGAACGAGATACCACATTTTGTTTCTTACTTTTCCAAGAAACTAAATTACCTCCAACAAATACACAATATCCTGAGGTTGATCTTCTATCTTCCTTAGAATCTGCCCAATCAACATCTGAAAAACATTCAATATTAAGATGACCATGATCTTTATATAACAAACCACGTCCAGGAGCACCTTTCAAATAACATAAAATATGCTCCAATGCGGCCCAATGGTCAGTTGTAGGAGAACTCATAAACTAACTGGATCTAGTCAAGTTTAGTAACTTGTAAGGTAATTCAACTCCCCTACTAATCTCCTATACTTCTCAGGATCTATCAACAACTCCCCTTTTTTTGTAAGTTGTAAATTAGGCATCATTGGAGTACTACGTGACTTAGCAGCTAACTTTCCTGTTTCAGTTAACAAGTCAAGTACGTATTTTCTTTGTGATAAAATGATACCCTTGCTCCTTATTACCTCAATTCCTAAAAAGTATTTCAACATTTCCAAATCTTTAGTATGAAATTGACTATGAAGAAAAGACTTGAGTGATAGGATGCCTGATGTATCATTACCAGTGATCACAATATCATCAACATATACAAGTAAGATAACACCAGACTCAGATCGTTTATAAAAACAGAATGATCTGACTTACTCTTCTTCATTCCAAAGTCTTCAATCACCTGACTGAATTTTCCAAACCATGCCCGCGGACTTTGTTTCAACCAATATAAGGATTTACGAAGGCGACATACCTTTCTATTCTCCCCCTGAGCAAGATCACCATGGAGGAATGCATTTTTAATATCAAGCTGATGCAAGGGCCAATGATGAGTAGATGCCAAGGAAATGAATAACCTGACAGAGGCCAATTTAGCAACTGGAGAAAAAGTATAAGAATAATCAATGCACATATCCTTTAGCAACAAGACGAGCTTTCAAGCGGACGATTGATTCATCAGGATGAACTTTAACGGCAAACACCCATTTACAACCGATAGGTTTCTTTCCTATAGGAATAGACTAAATCCCAAGTACCATTATCATCTAAGGCAGTCATCTCCTCCAACATAGCAGCCCGCCAACCAGGATGAGACAAAGCTTCATGAATAGTTTTAGGAACAGATACAGACTCAAGGGATGCAATAAATGAACAAGTAGGTGAGGACAAATGGTTATATGAGACAACAGAAGAAACAGGATAAGTACACTTACGAGCAATAGGAAGATCATCACTCGTTTCTGGATCCACAGACGAAGAAGCTGCTGGTATAGGACATGAGACCGAACGAGGTTGCCGTCGAGAATAAACTTAAGTAGGAGAAAAGGATCAGGTACAGAGGTAGATGTATCTCTAGGAAGCACGTCAGTATAAGTAGAGACAATGGAATAGACAAGAAAGTCATCATATTCCTGTGAATGCTCCCCCTAACTGGTATTCAAAGACGATGAAAAAGGAGTATCTTCAAAGAACGTAACATCATGAGAGACAAGATATCGATTGAGATCATGACAATAACATCGATACCCTTTTTGAACACGAGAATAACCAAGGAAAATGCATTTCAATGACTTAGGGTCCAATTTGGTGAGCTGGGGTCGAACATCCCGAACGAAACAAGTGCAACCAAATATTTTAGGTTTAATAGGAAATAAATGTTGCGTAGGACATAGAATACGATAAGGTATCTTACCCTTAAGAACTGATGAAGGCATGCGATTAATCAAGAAGCAAGCCGTCGAAATAGCATCGGCCCAAAAGTATTTTGGAACATGCATTTGAAACATTAAGGCCCTCGCTATTTCAAGAAGATTGATGAAGAATACCGTATTCGCTTAAATAGGAGCCAAGAGCACTAGAGAAATATTCTTTAGCATTATCACCCTATAGAACTTTAAGAGAGCCACCAAATTGAGTTCGAATCTCAGCATGAAAGTTACGGAATGTGGAAGTAACTCAGAACGATGTTTCATCAAATATAACCAAGTTACACGAGAGAAATCATCGATAAAAGTAACAAAATACCGAAATCCACTTTTGGACTTGTCAGGACTCAATAGGACAAGGACCCCAAACATCATAATGGACTAATTCAAAAAGAGCAGTAGCTCGTGTATTAACTCTAGGATACGAACTGAGACGATGAAACTTAGCAAATTGACATGACTCACAGTCTAAAGAAGGCAAACTACGAAATTGAGGACGAAGACTCTTTAACACGGAGAGAGATGAATGACCCAAACGATAGTGTTCTTCGAAAGGAGTTGGCACTCGAGTACAAACGATGGTTGTAGATATTTGTGTATCAAACGTGTAGAGACCATCAGATTCACGCCCTTTACCAATAGTCTTCTTCGTTGTAAGATTCTGAAATAAGCAATAACCAGGAAAGAACAAAACACAACAATTAAGATCACGAGTAAGTTTACTGACAGAAATCAAATTAAAGGACAATTGTGGCAAATTTAAAACAGATGTCAATGAAAGAGTTTTGGAAAGATGAATTGTGCCAGAGCCAAGAACAGGAGAAGTGCCATCTGCTATGGTAACATCAAGCAAAGATGTAGATGATGTAAAGGTAGCAAATAAACTGGGGTTACCTGACATATGATTTGTAGCACCAGAGTCAATGACCCATTTTGATGCAGAGGAAAGAAGACATTTACCGATATTACCTAACTCAACAAGGACAGAAATTGGATTAGATTATGATGCCATCAATGACTTGATACTGTTGAAATTTAGTGAACTCTTCTGCAGAAATCGTCACCATTGATTTCTTCTGAGTCATAACTTCAACGATATGAACACAAATAGAAAAGAATGCACTGAAACAAACCAAACCAAATCTGGAAGAGGAAAGGGAATCGAACCAGTGACCGACCAGATGAACCAAACCAATTGAACAAAGCCAAGTGAACCAAATCAATTGAACCAAACCGACAGATGAATCGAACCAATTGAATTAGACCAAGGGGACCAAACCGGTTGAACCGAGCCAAGTGGACTGAACCAGTTGAATCGAGCCGAGTGGACCAAATCAGTTGAGCCGAGCCAAATGAACCGAATCGGTTGAATCAGGTCGAACCGACCCAAGCAAGTGTTTCACCCTACACAACACACACGGTGGCTGACGAAGGCACCACCCTGCGACGAAGACACCACGACGCTAACCTGCAGCGACTAGCAGCGGCTGACGGTGAGGCGCAGCGTCTAACAGTGACGTGCAGCGGTTGATGACAAAGCCTGCAAGAGACGAACCCAAATCCCATCGCGACAGCAGCAAACGAAGACTGCAACAGTCGATGACGGGCGACAGCGGAGGTGGCGACAAGCGATGGCGGCGACGGCGGCGGGTGAGGATACTAATGAACACTTGCAAAAAAGTGTTCCAAAATTCAAACCCTAGTGGGTACAAAACCCTAATGGGCACAAACCCTAATGAGCACAAAACCCTAAGATTAAAAATAAGGTTTAAAAATTTAGAGAAAACCTAGAGCTCTGATACCATGTAAAGTTTAGAGAAAATAACAAAATAGAATTCGATTCAATTTATTCCTTGATACAAACCTAATAGCCTATTAATAATACACTAATTCCTAAACATAATAGGAATAGGAATCTAATACAATAATATAAAATATACTAATAAATACTCTAACATATTTGAAAATACTAAATGTGGT